AGTAGTATCAGTAGCAGCAGCAGCAGCAGCAGCAGCCATGGCCGCCACTGCCACCACCACGGCGACCGCCACGCAGCTAACACCGACACCCGCACAATCAGACAAAGACCCGCAGCCTGTGACAAATGAGAGCAATGCCGCATTAACAGTTATATGTTAGAAGTTGAATTCACAGCGGTATTGCGATTGCCTAAGCAGTATCAATCCGAGCATTTATCGTTAGAACCGACATGGTTCTAGTTCAAACTACCATCACCGTCATCATCATCATCATCATCTTCATCATCATCACCATCATCATCACCATCATCATCATCGTCATCATCATCTTCTCCGTCACCATCACTTTCATTTTCGTCGTCGTCATCATCATCATCGTTATGACTTTGGCCACCATCCTTGATCTCAGCCCCTGCAAGCCCCGATCCCAGGAAAGCAGGAGGGTCCTTGTGTGTACCAACTTCTGCAAGTATCAAGGTGCAGCCGAAATTTCTGCGAAAAGTGTTGTACTTGTACTGAACTATATCTACCTGCAAGACGTTTAGAGTTTCGTGTTTCTGGCTTGCACTCGGCCTCGTCTCTCAGACAGCTAGACGTTCTTTGCAGGCCTCTTCCAGTTCAGCCGCGTCCCCAGGCATCTCTTGTCTAGACGCAAAGCGCCATTCTCTGCAAGTTAGGAGATTGCAGAGAGGAGATAAACGACCTTGAATCCGAGGCACCTGCGACAAATCCCGGCAAGGACTGCTTGGCATTTGGGACATGCAGCTGTCAGCCATGCCGAAGGAAAGGGGTTGGCGACCTCTCCCTAATGTCTGTCTGGAGAGGACTTGCTTGCAAGTATGCAGGCGAGGCTTTCGCATGTGGAGAGGCTGAACCAGCATCAGGCCCTGCCTTTGGTAGTGCGCCTGAACAGTTTATCCAAACATGATTGTAATGAGTTTTGGCTCTACTATCAACTACTACTACGATGACGACGCTGACGACGACCACGACGACTGCTACTACCAAAACTACAAATACAACTACTGGTAGCAACAAGAAAATATCACCGACTGCTACTGCTACTACTACTACTACTGCTGCTACTACTACTACTACTACTCCTACTACTACTACTCCTCCTCCTACTACTAGTACTACCTACTACTACCTACTACTACCTAGCACTACCTGCTACTACCTAGTACTAACTACTACTACCACCTACTACTACTTAGTACTAACTACTACTACTACTACTACTACTACTACTACTCCTGCTGCTACTACTACTACTACTACTACTCCTACTACTACTACTCCTCCTCCTACTACTAGTACTACCTACTACTACCTACTACTACCTAGC